AGACATGCATCAGACGTCGCCCTGAATGGCTACAGGAGGGGCCCACTGGCCAAGGGACCCCAGCGGGCACCGCGGGCACCGACCTCCTCTCACTCCCTGCGGGAAAGGATTGTTCCCACCTGCGCCCGGTGTGTGCCTGGTTCCCCGTGGGGACTCCGACTCCACGGGTGACGCCGCGGCTGAGCCTGGGTGGGCAACGTCACTGTCCTCCGCGCAGGGGGACCCTCGCCAGGGTTTGGTAGCTGGCGAGATCGGAATTCGGGCTCAGTTTGTCTGAGCTGCCGGCTGCTTTGCTCGGATGTTGCTCTATTGAAACAGGAGTTGGTCCCCTAGTTTCGCCATGGTAGCCGTCCAGGCCAGACGCAGACCCTGCACCCCCCGCCCTTCATCTCATGATGAATTAGGGGACATGCAAAACGTTTCTCTGATGGACTGGCCACGAGGAAAAGTGTTTGTCCCGGGAACCAGGGAACCACCCGGGGAAAGCGCGCTCTGCGCAGGACTCAGAGGCACCCGTCCCTTCGCCAGCCCACCCCGTCTGATGTCACTCACCCATCTGAAGCTCGTGTGCCCCCCTAAAAAGGCACTCCCCCTCTCTCAGACACGGATCGCGTGTCCTCAAATTGCAATAAAACTGATGTGCGTCCTGGCCCGGTTGCCCGGTGGGTAGAGCGTCGGCCTGCGCACCAGAGGGTCTAGGGTTCGATTCCCACCGGTCGGGGTGTGTTCAGAAGGCAGCCAATCGATGTTTCTCTCTCTCCCCCCCTCTCTAAAAATTAATGGAAAAAATATCCTCTGATGAGAATTAACAAAAAATTGATCTCCATCTTCGCCTAACTTTTGTCTTTGACCCGAGGATGGACGGGCCCCCGCCCTTCAGCACCCTCGCTTCATTCAGGGAGCTCTGCCTTCCAATGAACACGGGGTGAAGTGCTCCCCTGGCCGGCGGCCTGCAGGGTCACCCTGGCCCTCGTCTCCGGCTGCTGCGACAAGGACTCCACACCCACCCCGGGGAGGCCCACGGCCTGGGCACCCACTGCCTGCTCTCGTCTCCAGGGCCCTCCGCCGACCGCTCGCTTCAGGTGTCAGCTCAGATCCCTCCCCGGCTGCCCCACCGAAAACCACTGACCGTTCAAAACTGCTGGCCATTTACAGCTGCTGACCGTTCAAAACTCCTGGCCAGAGGAAAACAAACTGGCCCCGTAGGTCACAGCTGCGCCCGCCGCCTCCCACAACCACATCAAAAATCACAACTAAAATCCAGAACCACCAGCACTCGGAGCCTCCTGAGATCTGGCTGCACAGAAGCCCCACAGCCAGGGAGCTGAGGAAGCACCGAGACCAGTGGGGGGGGAGATGCGGGCGGATCGCGGCTGAATTGTGGAGAGGCGGCCGCGGGCCCACACCCGGTGCCGTGGATTAAACCCGGGAGGGAATCTCAGCCGCGGTTTCCCGGAGGAGCGACGGGTCCCAGCCCCACACAGGCCCCAGCCCAGGGCTCCAGGCCGGGAAGAGACGCCCCCACAACTCCGGGCTGTGAACCCAGCAGGGACTGTCCCTGAGGGTCGCAGAGGCCGCGGGAGCCCCAGCAGCTCCTCT